TGACTTAGTTGGAGATCTAGCAAAGAGAACTGAGAAGGAGGGATCATGTGAGTAGGAGGAGAAGCAGGAAAGAGTACTGTCACAAAAACCTAGAGAGAAGAGAGAATCATGGAGAAGAGGGTGATTGACAGTGTCAAGGGCTACAGAGAGGTCAAGAAGTATGAGAACTGAGTAAAGGCCATGAGATTTTGTAATTAAGAGATCATTAATAACTGGAGAGAGCAGTTTTAGTTGAATAATGAGGTCAGAAGCCAGCCTGTAGAGAGTTAAGAAAAGAGTGAGAAGAAAGGAAGCAGAAGCACTTATTGTAGATACCTTTCTTGAGGAATTTAGTTATAAAAGGAAGAAGAGATATAGGACAATAGCTAGTGGAGATGGATGGATCAAAGGAGGGTTTTTTTTTGAAGATGGGAGAGTGGTGGGCATGTTTGTAGGCCATAGGGAAGCTGGTAACAGGGAGGAAGTGAGAGAGTGGGAATGATGGAGAAAGCAATCTGTTAGAGGAGATGGAATTAAATAGTATCACTTGGGACTGCAAGGCAAGGAGAAAGGCCACTTCACTATGTGGGACAGCAGTGAAAGCTTATATGGTGGCCAAAGACATATGGGTAGTGGGAGATGAAAAGGAGAAGAGAAGAGGAAGTTCTTACTGAACGGACTCAATTATTCTAGTGAAATATAATGCAAGATTCTCAGTGGAGAGGGTAGGTGTAGGGGGAGCACAGAGAGGTTTGAGGAGGGATGAAAGAATTTGGAAAAGGCTGCTGTGGTGAGTGGGATAGTAAGCTGATTAGAGTGGTGTACAAGGATTGCCCTGATGCAGTGAGGGCCCAGTTGAGATTACATTACATAAATTTGCTTTGGATCCTGTTAGTATGTCTTCCAGATTTCCTCTGGATTCTGATCTTCATGACATTCACAGAACTTGTTTATGACTCTGCTGGGATTTCCTACACACAGTTTGTAAACTATTATTACAAAAATCAGGTATTGAGGTGATACATAAGCCTGCATGGAGGTTGGAGTAGAGTTCTCATTTTCTTTATATAAGCCTTGTTAAGACAAGGCTGACCCCCAGGGATAGGGGAGCCAGGTGTAGGTTCTATAAAGGGAAGGGCAAGGGAACTTCTTTGTCAGCTTGGGCTACAATTAGCCAGTGTCCTTACAAAGAGAGGTTCAGGACATACTAGCATTGCTCATAAACTCACAGAGAGGGAAACAATGATAATCCTTAATGGTAAGTCACTATGTCACATGGGATGGTATGTGATGGTTTGCAAAGGACTTTCCTCATGACAATCCTGTGATAGCTAAAAAATTATGAATGGAAGGCATGAAGGAATTAAACAAGATCTTTGATGTGTTGAGAATGCATGACTGGTACTCCGAGGCTCCACAGGTACCTTCTTTCTCTGTATATTTGGGTTTTTTTTGGCATATCTCCTGTCCTGGGAAGGAAGTCAGGTAGCAGAATGGTGTAGTGGATTGGACATTGGAATCAGAATCAGGAAGGTCTTGGTTCAAATCCTGGCTCAAACATCTGACAAGTAACTTAATTTCTCTGTGCCTCAATTCTCTCATTTGTAAAATGAGGGGATTGGACCAAATGTCCTCTAAGATCCCTTCAAGATCTAAATCTAAGATTCCCTCTCCTAATGTGTGCTTCTGTGTGCTGTCTGAAGTGCTCATCAATGCTGAGTTTTAGAACTGTGACAGACTTAAATACAATTTGTCATAATCTTTTCATTTTACAGATGAGGAAATTGTGTCCCCAAGGGGTTAAGTGACTTTTTTAAGGTCATACAGATAATAAACAACAGAGTCAAAATTCAAACTCAGGTCATTTGTTCCTTAAACTCAGTTATTGCTGAATGCTTTTCTGAGACTGCTCCTTCCCACTCAAAACCTGATCATCACAGTAGTCAGAGACCTTGTCAGGTATTACAAATACAAATCACAAAATTATAAATGCCATCTATGACTTTATAACAACCAGAACAAATCCTGTGCCTGGAGAATCTTGTTACAGGCCTTCTGACAAATTCTCCTAATCAGGAAGACGTTCATCTCTAAGGACAGATGAATGAACCATCTAAGGAAGTTGTGATTTGTCTAGGGATTATGGTATCACTATTGCCTGTACTTTGAGCATGGGAATGTTTTCCTCCCTCTACATGATTTGACATACAATGGTAACATACATCTTTTCAATTGGATTACATGTAAATCTATATATCATTCTATCAATTGCTTTTTAAAAAATACTGACAAGCTGCATTCTTCTAATCATCTATGTCCATGTAGAGGCCAAAATCCTATATTCTGACTCTCATTTGGTCAGATGAATAGCTAAATTTCCTGCACATTATTGATGTCCTGAGTGGGCAAGTGAAGGATGCCTCCAATCCCCATTCACTGTGTGTGTGAACATATATAATATATGTATATGCATATATTATATACACACATATATATCTATATACACACCATGGATGTGTGTGTATGTATGTATGTCTATATACATCTTGTATTTATTTACTTCTGTGCACATTGTCTTCCCTAGTAAAATGTAAGTAAAAAGTAAGAATGGGGACTGTCTCACTTTCATATTTGTATCCCTAGCAGCTAGCATTTATATAGTAACCATTATGTGCCAGGCACTGTGCTAAGAGTTTTACAACTATTATCTCATTTATCCTCATGACTAGTTGAGGAAACTAAGCAGAGGTTAAGTGACTTGTCCAAGCTCACACAGCAGTATAGCTGAGGCCAGATTTGAACTCAGGTCCTTTTGACTCCCAGGCCTAGTGCTCTATCTACCATGCTACCCAGCCACTTTGTAATAGGAAGTTAAGAAAGGCTTATTAGTTGATTAATTGATTAATTCCCTTTACCTCTTGAATGTTTCACCCTTGGTTCAGTTTCCTATTGGAATAGAAGAGTTAAAAACTTTAGTGGGCAGATAGATATCCGTTGTGGTTGTTGTTCAGTTGTGTCCCACTCTTTGTGACCCTGTGGACCATACTATTTGTGGAGCGTTCTTGGCAAAGATACTGGAGTGGTTTGCCATTTCTTTCTCCAGCGGATTAAGGCAAACAGAGGTTAAATGACTTGTGCAGGGTTGCACAGCTAGTATGTCTGAGGCTGGATTTGAACTTAAGTCTTCCTAATTCCAGGCCCATTGCTCTATTCACTGATCCATCTAGCTGCCTCTGGCAGGTGTTTACTCTTCTGTAAATTTCATGGAGGTTAAGGAAAATGTCATTGGCTTAGAGCACACTGCAAATGACGGGGAGGTTTGAGTGAGTTGGAAGAGCTGAAGTAATGGCTGGCATGTAACTGTTCATTTTAATAAATTGAATTCATATTCTTGGTTTTGCTCTTCTGTTTACTATGTGTCTGAGCTTATATAGCCTGAAACCTAAAATTTGCTTCTTCCTAACTGTCCTTCCTTAGACTTTGTAAACTTCTGGTTTTACTCTTTCTCCTATCCGTGGCTTCTTCTAGTTTATTAACCTGTCCACAGGTTCTTAGAATAATGTTGTTGTACCACATTCCTGATAACTGTCTGAGCTTAAACTCCCTAATAACCTTCTCCTTATTTCCACAACTCTTTTCCAAGCAGTGGGAGGTTTCATTCAGCACCACAGACACTTCCTGGCCACAGTCTCACCAGATCCCAACCTAATCCAGGCCAGATGGACCAATTTAATCCCATCGCCATGCCAGAAAATATGTTAATCCCAAACTTGGGAAAACTGAGTACTCTCCCAACAGCAGTTATCAGAACTCTGGTAGGAATGAGGCCATGAGGACTGGGAGTGGGTTAGGTTGGCCATCAGGCATGAAAAAAAAGTCTACCTGTCCTTTTCTAATTAATGTATGTATTTTAGTTTTTAACATTCACTTCCATAAGCTTTTGAATTTTAAATTTTCTCCCTCTCACTCCCCACCTCCCTCCCCAAGATGGCATGCAATCTGATATAGGCTCTACATTTACATTCCTATTAAACATATTTTCATTAATCATGTTGTAAAGAAGAATTATAACAAATAGGAAGAACCACAAAAAAGAAGAAACAAAACAAAACAGAAGGAAAAAAAGCAAACGGTGTGCTTTGATCTTCAATCAGACTCCACGGTTCTTTCTCTGGATGTGGATAGTATTTTCCATCGTGAGACTTTTGGAGATATCTTAGAGCCTTGCATTGCTGAGAAGAGCTAAGTCTATCAAAGTTAGTCATCATACAATGTGGCTGTTACTGTGTACAACCTTCTCCTGGTTCTGCTCACTTCTCTCAGCATCAGTCCATACAAAGTCTTTCCAGGTTTTTCTGAAGTCTTGCCTGCTCATGATTTCTTATAGCAAGCACAATAGTATTCCACTACATTCATATACCACAACTTGTTCAGCCATTCCCCAATTGATGCACATCCCCTCACTGTCCAATTCTTTGACACCAGAGAAAGAGCTGCTAAAAATATTTTTGCACGTGTGGGTCTACCTGTGCTTCTTGACGGACAGAGGGGTATCAGTATGAGCAACCTCTGAGAAGTTTTCCAGCTGAACTACTGATATCTCATGGATCAATGCCTGGTTGATACTATTCTTTGACTTAACTTGACTATTCCAGCCTTGGGAGTTTCCCTTTAAGCATTTCCAGAGAAGCCTTTTTGGTGACCTGATGGATAAGGCTGCCTATTAGCACACATTCTATCTGACAAATGATACCTTTCCCTTACCCCTCCTTAGACTTAGAATACTTCCTATAGGAGCTATAAGATATTTTCATGTCTACTGCTCACCAAAACCACCCACCCAAAAAACAGATTTAAAACTCCAGCAAGAGAGGGGTTCCATTATAAATTAATCAGTTAACAAAATTTATCAAATTCCTACTATATTCTAGGTATTATGCCAAGTAGTGAGGATGTAGATGTAAAAAATGAAATAATCACTACTCTCCAAGATCTCATGTTTTACATCACAGGGAATATGCCAGCAACTTCTTGGTGCTTACCCAGGACAACTGATGGAGTGAGCGAGACCTGATCTGGTCCTGATATGCCTTGGTTTTCCATGTTTTTGGTAAGGGCACTGCAGTTTTTCTCTCTACCCAACTTCCCACCTAAGAGTCGTCTTCCATACTTCACTCCTATATACCTTTTATGTTGTTGTTGGATTATTTCAGTCATGTCTGACTGTTCATGACCCCATTTGGGGTTTTCTTGGTAAAGACACTGGAGTGGTTTGCCATTTCTTCTTACAGCTCATTTTACAGATGAAGAAAGTGATGCAAGCAGGGTCAAGCGACTTGCTCAGAGTTACATAGCTAATACGTGTCAGAGGTCAACTTTGAACTCAGGTCTTTCTGACTCTAGGCCCAGTGCTTTACTCACTGTGCCACTTATCTGCCCCACTTAACACGACTTGAGTATAAATCTGTATCTCCAGTGCAGAAAAGTCTGGATGACAATTTGTTAGTATCTTTTAGAAGTGATTCTTGTGTAGCTATGGGCTAGATTAAATGGCCTCTATGATCCCTTCTATTTCTTAAAGATTATGGTTTTGTGATCACTCATTAGATATGGCAGGTGAGGGAGGAAGGTGAACTAGAGATTAATCTCAAGATTATGAGCAAGAAAAACTAATCATTTAAGTTTTAATTAATGACTACTTCTATAAAATGAGAATAATAATATTGGAATTACTTGTATCTCAGGGCTGTAAGGAAAGTAATGCTATAGACAGAAATAGTGAAATTAGAAGGAAAATCAGGTTAAGTGGAAAGATAAGCCAGTTTTAGACATGTTGAAATTGAGATGATGTTGGGATATCCATGTGTGGGTGTCTTGTAGGCAGTTGGAGGTGTAGTCTAGATCAAAGAAGACATCTGGACTGAATATGTGGATTTGAGAGTTATCTTCATAGATGAATGAGTTGCCTAGGGAATCCATGGGGATGAATGAGTTGCCAAGGGAAAGAGCACATAGGGAGAAAAAGACCAAGCACAACCTTGAAAGAAGACTTACAAGGACAAAAAAAAGAGTGGGTAGAGGTGTAGAGTAGGGCGACTAGGTGACACGGTGGATAGAGTGCCAGGCCTAGAGTGAGGAAGACCTGAGTTCAAATCTGAACTCAGACACTTACTAGTTGTGTGAACTTGGGCAAGTCACTTAACCCTGTTTACCTCAGTTTCCTCATCTGAAAATGACCTGGAGAAAGAAATGGCAAACCACTCCAGTGTCTTTTTCAAGAAAACCCCAAATAGGATCATAAAGAGTCAGACACAACTGAAACGACTGAACGACAACTATAAGAGGTATAGAGAACAGTATATCTAAAGCAGAGGGAAGAAAGAGAACCTAGTAGGAGGAGGGTGGTCAAAAATGTCAAAAGATAAAGGGGAAAATGAATTACAAATAGGATATTAAATTTGTTGATTAAGAGGTCATTGTCTTCTTAGAGAGAAGAGTTAGTGTAGATGGGTGTTGTAGAAGCCAGACTGAATGGGTTGAAAACAGGTAGAAAGGAAGAAGCACTGAGTGTAGACATTTGTTTCAAGAAATTTAGCAGTGAATTGAAGAGATGGGACAGTAAGATGATAAATTTAGAGCTGGAAGGAACCTAGAGTTCATTTAGCCAACATTCTTATTACATAAATTAGTAAATCCAGGCCCACAGATATTAAATGGCTGGCCTAGGGTCAGACAGGTGGTAAGCAGTGGAGATGAACCCAAATTCAGGTCCTCTGCCTCAAAATCCAACCCTTCATTCTAGCATACTCCTCAATGAGTTTTGGGTACAAGAGTTTGAGGCATGGATGGGAGAAGTTTAGGAAACTCATGTTAAATCATCTTAGCTGTAGAACCTAGGCCACTGAATGAAAGTACAAGGATGCCCAGCAGAACACAAGTATAGTAATTCCACTGTTAGAGGTAGACTGCCATAGTGGGTAGAGGAACCTAGCGAGTTCACATTTTGAATCTGGGACTTACTAGCTGCATAAACATGGCAAAGTTACTTTGTTCTTTGAGGTTTAGTTTTCTGATCTGTAAAATGGGTATATTAATGTTTGAAACCCCCATCCACTGGGTTGTTATGAGACTTCAATGGTTTAAAGTATATAAACCACTTTATAAACTTCAACACTATATAAATGTTATTAGTATGATTGTTCCTAGGTTGCTTGGTCTTCCCTGCTCATTGCAGGGTTCTGCTTTGATAACTCAACCCATCCCTTCCCCTCAGACTTTACTCAGACTCTAATTTTCATCCTTAGTTCTTTTCTGTGTTTGGTATTTGCTTCGAATGTTGATTTTATAGTAACACAAAATGCAGTGGAACATCATTTACTGAAAAACACTAAATGCTCCCTTAGTGTCTTCAAAGAGTCGATTCATCTCCTGAAGTGCCTAATGTACTCCCAAGAAGGAAATTATACCCTGGTGGAATTTGGTTCACCATAATAAAGTACACTAAATATCCTGGTGTGGTATATTGTGCACAAAATGTAAAAGAATTTAGCTATTTTGGCCTCTTGAAGAGAGAAGTGACTTTTTCCTCTCTCAGATGTATTTTACATGATCACATATCCTGGGACTGTGGCTGTATGGCAGCAGCTTAAATCAGTACTCTGTAGGTAGGGAGCAGGTGTCTTTCCCAAACTCAGATTTAAAAGTGACTTTTTTGAATGGGTGTGGAGAAAAGAGCTTTAGAACCACAGCATTACATGGGTGGTGGAGAGAAAATTGGCCTTGGAATCAAAAGGCCTGAGTTTGAATCCTGGGTTCTCTACTTACTAGCCATGTGACCACAGGAAAGTTATTTAACTTCTCTACAACTATTTTTTCTTCTAGACTAATAATACTGGAATTACCTGTATCTCAGGGTTGAAAGGAAAGTACTTTATGAAGACTGAGGAACTATTGAAATGCCAAGGTGTTCACCTTAATTGTCAATCCTCATCATCACAGTTGCCACCAGGTCTTTGGGTGCATAAGCAAGAAAGCTCATATTGTATTTTTGCACATGTGTTGTTGCCACAAATAACAGTCTAGGAGTTTTTAGATTCATCCATTTATATTTCTCAGTCACTGGAGTGGATCTGAGCAGAGGATGCTCAATTTTGGCATAAAAATCATTAGGAAGTTGAAGCTCTTGATTGTGAGATCAGATAATTGGACTATTGCTATACTGGCATATCTGATAACTCCCTCTTAGAATCTGTTCTAGGGCACAACTAATATTAGAGAAGAGGAGGAAGAGAAGGAACTGCAGTCTTAGATTGTTATATTAAAATTTAATCATTCTCCCACCACTCTCATCTCTAGGTACATTTCCATGCATATGAAAAGGCTACAAAAGCAATAAGTTGCTTTAAATGCATACCCTCTCTTCCTTGTCCTGGCCCCCTGTTCCCCTGCAACATGTTTTATTTAAGGACTAAATGTGAAGTTGAGATTAATATAAGAAGTATTAAAGCTCATTGTGGGTAGTACTAATAAATATCATGCTAGTCATGAGTCAGTAGATGACCCTGTAAAAATAGACACATTTTATATGCGTGTGTGAGAAAATTTTATTTCTTATTCTTTTTCTGTACTAACTTATTTTAGCCCTCCTATGTATTTGAATCTTAGCATGGCTAAGATTGCTCTGGTTTCTCTTTGTGTGTCTTTGTGATAAACCTTGGTCTTGAAAGGGTTCTCTGAACCCTTTTTAGCTATTCTTTTTTTTTTTAGGCAATTGGGGTTAAGTGACTTGCCCAAGGTCACACAGCTAGTAAGTGTCAAGTGTTTGGTCTGAGGCTAGATTTGAACTCAGGTCCATCTTGACTTCAGGGCCAGTGCTCTATCCACTGTTCCACCTAACTGCCCCCCCCCCCCCCCCCCCCCCCCCCCGCCCCATAGCTATTCTTAATTGATTGTAAGCAAAGGAGGTTGAATCCCCCTTCTCCCATTTGTAGAACAGGCATGCTTTAGATCTATGACCTCCTCACTGGTGGTTTTCTTTTAAGGCTTCTCTGGGCCTCAGGGTAATTATTAGGGTCTGGACCCCATGTGAGGGCAATTAGAAGTGGGAAGGCAAATGAAAAGGGATAGTAGTATTTCTCTCTCTCCAAAAAGGATTCAGTGCTGACCAAGTGTGTGCGAGGCACACTGCATGAGCACGTGGAGGAAGAAGTGAATGCATTCAGGCTGCTTGAAATCAGGCTGACACATCGTATAGTGGAAAAAAGTTATAGATTAGAAGTTAGAAATCCTGCCTCTTTCACTTACTTCCTGCATGACCTTGGCCAAGGTCCTATGACCATTTACTAAAATCTTCCCTGTTATTCTTGTGGAAAAGATGTAGAGATGTAGGTAGGGTTAGTACACCCAGAAGGAACTTAGAAAATATTACTAAAGGTTATTAAATTTTGAGCAAGAAATTGAATTTAAAAAGTCATTGCTATTGATAGAAGGTAGGAGGTTTAGAAGAGAAAGACGTATTTAGGAAGTGAGCAGATGATTGAGAAGATTGTCACTGAGTACAGAATTTAAATTTTTAGACTGTGGTTTAAAATACAGGACTGATTAACTGTTGACCAAGGATGGAATCATCCTAATGAGATATGGTAAAATTTTATTTGTCTTGGAGTCTTGGAAATGCAATTAAGAGGGATTTAAATTGAAAACCTGGGTGTCAGAAGAGAATTGCTACATAGATCTACCAAGCCTATTCCCATAGAGTGTAATAGCTATAATAGGAAGAATAGCAAAATAGAGGATCAATAATTCTGAGGAGACAATATCCAAGAGAGTCACCTGTAGTCTCAGATATCTATATATAAATTTAGAAAGCATGGATAATAATGTAAGGAGGAAAGTTTGATTTTGAGCCATGCCTGCATTATGCACGGTATGGTTACACAGGTTTGAAGCATTGGCATGGCTTTCTTGTCACCTGGGACAGAGAGGCCAGTCCGTATGGAATTGTTATTCCTGAGGTTTCGCAAAGCTCCCATTGCCTTGCAGGATACTTTTCTGACCCAGAGTTGCCACCCTGGCAAATGCAGAAGCAGAGGGGAGCAGGATCCATTTTTAGTTAATTTTATCCTTATGATTTTATTGTAAATAAAATTATTTTTATTAAGTTTGATGATTTACAAGTGTTTCATTGAGAGCAAATCCCAAGCCTAAACCATTAGACTGGCCTGAGCTAACCGTAGACTGACTCTCTCTCTCTCTCTCTCTCTCTCTCTCTCTCTCTGTCTCTCTCTCTCTCTCTTTCTCTCTCTCTCTCTCTCTCTCTCTCTTTCGCTCTCTCTCTCTCTCTCTCTCCCCCTCCATACACACACACACACACACACACACACACACACATACATACATGTGTATATATACACATATACACATAAATACATAATATACACATATACATACACATATATATATATATATATATATACACATACATACATACACACATATGTGATTTTATCATCATAGAAAACTACCAGTAAAGAATGCCCTTTGTAAATGCAAATTGGCTCATGCTTTGCAGCTTAGAGTATTGTCTAGGGCACTAAGAGTTCAAACACCCTTGCCCAAGGTCCATGACTGGTATATTTCAGAAATGGGTCTTGAACCCTGACCTCAGACAACTTTTTGTCATGCCATGCTGCATCTTAAAATTTACATTCAAAATTTATAGATTAGATTTTTAGAGGTAGAATAGCATATTAAAAGTACTGACAGGAAATGAGGATTTCTAGGGGGAAGCAGTGGAGAAAATTTGGCTGGTGAGAAACAGAAAAAATATTTTTGTGAGGGTATCCAACAGTCCACCTAGAGAGGAGAAATTAGGTGACATATTCAGGAAACACATCAGAAACCTAGTACAGAAACAAAATATTGTCTTAAGGAAAATATTAATTAATATTGTGTTAAGAATTCTGACATGTTTTAATCCTTTTTTTTTTTTGCCAGAATCAACAGTGGCAGATAAATTCTTGATATGCCTTAACGATAATCCTTCTTTCAAATGGTGGAGGAAATAACAAGGAAAACTAATATTTTAGACCTGATTCTGGAAGAAAAGAGAGAACTTGTTGCTGGAATAGATAGTTGGGAACCTTGACATCAAGAAGCTATTACATCTTAGTGAAGTAAAGTTAGGCATAGTCAGATGTGAATCATAGATTTTGGAGGAGCAGATTTCAAAAGGTTCAGAGAAAGGCTAGGTAGTATGTATGGCTTAATATTCTTTTCAGAGGAAATTGGACCAGTAGGCATGAAAAACTGTGAAAAATGATATTCTGAAGATATAAGAAGAAATTACTCCAAAGTGGTGGAAAAGAAAGGACCAGCCTAAGGAGCCCAATGTGACTGCACAGGGAACTTATTGACCAATTTAGATTTTAAGAAGATGTACACAGAAGATGGGAGTGCTCCTTCATTCTGTATTGTCTGGTGTATATCCTCCTATGTATACCTTCTCTGATTTCTGTTTTACTATTGATTTGAATAAATGAGTTTTCTTTGTTAATTACTGTGTTCATTGTGAAACTAGTATTGGGTAGGAAAGGGGTCAAGCCTTGGATATAAAGTTTGGGGTCCTCATTACCCCCAATAATGACAAAATGATCAGAAGTTAGATTGAACCCAAACATATACCCTCTAGATGAAAAGTATGTAAGGTAGCAGATGGACCTCTAGTTCAGTAACCTCTCTTTCTGAGGACAGCAAGGTAGCCTCTGGTCCCAACTCTCTGCTTCACCTACTGGCAGGAATGAAAGTCTCCCTTGGAGAAGATGGGTAGGAGGAGAGGTTGGAGATGCCTATTCTTCTGCCCTTTGAGTTACACAGTGATAACCCTCACCACACAGGTGGGCCTCACTACATGTGGGGTCCTTTCCCCTGTATTTTTATGATAGATTTTCAAATACTTCAAGGCACTGTCATGTCTTCCCCCTAAGTCTTGGATTAATGAATGAAAAAGCATTTATTAAGTACTTGCAATTTTTCAGGCACTGTGCTAAAAACTGAGGATATAAATACAAGTGAACATGATGATCCCTGCCTTACTTTCTATTTTTTTCTTGCATTCTTTTAAAAATATTTTTTTTCCGATTACATGTAAAAACAACTTATTCATTTGTTAAAAATTTTGAGTTCCAAATTCTCTCCCTTCTTGCCCTTCCCACTTGTTGAAAAGTTAATCAATTTGATATAGGTTATACATGTGCAGTCATGCAAAATGTATTTCCACATTAGTCATGATTTGAAAGAAAACACAGAAACCCCCCCCCCCCAAAAAGAAATAAAGTTAAAAAAAAGATATACTTCCTTCTGTATTCAGACTCTATCAGTTTTTCCTCTGGAGGTGGATGGCATATTTCATCATAAGAACTTCAGAATTGTCCTGGATCATTGTATTGCTGAGAATAGCTAAGTCATTCACTGATCACCATACAATATTGCTGTTGCTGTGTATACCATTCTCCTGGTTTTTCTCACTTCACTTTGCATCAGTTCATGTCAGTCTTTCCAGGTTTTTCCTGAAAGATTCCTGTTAATCATTTCTTATAACACGATATTATTCCATCACAATTATATACCACAATTCATTCAGTCATTCTCCAATTGATGGACATCCTTTAATTTCCAATTCTTTGCCACCACAAAAAGAAGTGTTATAAATACTTTTGTATATATATGTCCTTTTCCTTTTTTTTTTTTTATCTCTTTGGGATACAGACCCAGTAGTGGTATTTCTGGGTCAAAGGGCTTGCACAGTTTTTTTTCCTTTTGGGCATAGTTATACATTACTCTCCAGAATGGTTGGATCGGTTCACAACTCTACTGAGTGCTTTAGTATTCTAATTTTCCCACATCTCCATTTGTCATTTTCCTTTTCTGTCATATTAACCAATTTGATAGGTATGAGTTGTTTTAGTTTGTATTTCTCTAATCAATAGTGATGTAGAGCATTTTTATATGACCATAGACAGCTTTAATTTCTTTGTCTGAAAACTGCCTATTCATATCTTTTGATTATCAACTAGGGAATGACTTATGTTCTTATAAATTTGACTCAGTTCTCTGTATATTTGAGAAATAAGGTCATCACAGAAGCTTACTGTAAAATTTTACTATGTATTTCCCTCTATCCTATTTCCCCCCATGTTTGTCCTTCTCTCTCTTCTACTCACCCTGTCTCTCTTCAAAATTGTTTTACTTGTGATCACCACTTTCCCCAATCTGCCCTTCCTTCTCTTGTGTCTTTCCTTTCCTACTTCCCTGTAGGGCAATATTGATTTCTATACCCACCTGAATGTGTGTATTATTCCCTCTTTGAGCCAATTCAAATGAGAGTAAGATTTAAGCATTGTCTGCTATCCTCTATCTTCCTCTCCCTTGTAAATGCTCTTTTGTGCCTCTTTTATGTTAGATGATTTACCCCATTCTACCTCTCTCTTCCCTCTTCTCCCAGTGTACCCCTCTTTCTCATTCCTTAATTTTTAAAAATATATCATCCTATCATAACCATCCCACTTTCTCACCCCTTTTTAAAGATACCCTCCCATCATAGTCAACTTGCACCTGTGCCCTCTGTCTATGTATACTCCATCTAACTGCCCTAATAATTATAAAGTTTTTAGGAATTACAGGTATCATCTTCCCATGCAGGAATGTAAAAAGTTTAACTTCATTGAACAATTTATTATTTCCTTTCCTGTTTACCTTTTTTATGTTTCTCTTGAATCTTATATTTGAAAGTCAAATTTTCTATTCAACTCAAATTTTTTCATCAGGAATGCTTGAAGGTCCTCTGTTTCATTAAATATCCATCTTTCCCCTGAAGTATTATACTCAGTTTTGCTGGATAGGTGATTTTTGGTTGTAATCCTAGCTCCTTTGCCCTCCAGAATAGCCCTCCAATCCTTTAATATAGAAGCTGCTAAATCTTGTGTGATCCTGACTGTGGCTCCACCATATTTGAATTGTTTCTTTCTGGATGCTTAAAATATTTTCTTGTTGACTTAGGAACTCTAGAATTTGGCTATAGTACTCCTGGGAATTTTCATTTTGTCATCTCTTTTAACAGGTGATCAATGGGTTCTTTCAGTTTCTATTTTACTCACTGGTTCTAGGATATCAGGGTAGTTTTCCTTGATAATTTCTTGAAATATGATGTATAGGTTCTTTTTTAAAAATTATGGCTTTCAAGAAGTCCAATAATTCTTAAGTTATCTCTCCTGGATCTATTTTCCAGGTCCATTGTTTTTCCAATGAGATATTTCATATTTTCTTTTTTTTTCCCCATTCTTTTGATTTTGTTTGATTGTTTCTTGATATCTCATGGAGTCATCAGTTTCCACTTGCCCAATTTTAAGAAATTATTTTCTTCAGTGGGCTTTTGTACCTCTTTTTCCACATGGCCAATTCTGCTTTTTAAGGAGTTCTTCTTGTCAGTGATTTTTTAAATACATCTTTTTTCTATTTGGCCAATTCCACTTTTTAAGGAGTTCTTCTCTTCAGTGTTTTTTTTTTTAACCATTTGGCCTTTTCTTTCTTTAAAGGTATTTTCTTTAATATTTTTTGTTTGCCTCTTTTATCATGCTGTTGATTCTTTTTTAATGATTATTTTGCATCACTCTAATTTCTTATCCAAAAATTTCCTCTCCCTTTCTTATGTGATTTTTAAAATCCTTTTTGAGTTATTCAAGGGATTCTTTTGGGGTCTGAGACCAATTCATATTTTTCCTTTAAGGCTTTGGATATAGCTGTTTTGACTTTGTTGTCTTTTTCTGAGTTTGTGTTTTGATCTTCTCTGTCACCATAACTTTCTATGGTCAAGGTTTTCTTTTTGCTCATTTTCTAGTCTATTTATTGCCTTTTAACTTGATGTTAAAGTTGGACTCTGCTTCTGGGATAAGGGGAGCACTGTACCAAGTTCAGGTTTTTTTTTTTGTTTTGTTTTTTGGTTTTTTTGACTAGGCAATGGGGTTAAATGACTTGCCCAGGGTCACACAGCTATGTTATGTGTCTGAGGTCAGATTTGAACTCAGGTCCTCCTGAATCCAGGGCCAGTGCTCTATTTACTGAGCCACCTCGCTGCCCCCGCAAGTTCAGGTTTTTTGTGTTGCTGTTTTCAGAGCTAGGTCCATGGATCTATAAGCCTTTACTCCACTATCTTGGCTCTGCCAGGATGATGTAGAGGAGCTTACATTTTAATAGGGGAAGACAACACAGAAAGAGGAGCTGGAGTTGGAAAGAAGAGCGGAGAATTCTGGTGGGAGGAGGAGGAAAAGGAGGGCCAGAGCAAAAGCAGCATGGTTTTGAAATGGTTGGGATGACTTCAGTCCCCTAAACTCTACATCATTATTATTTAACTGAGATAGCTGTGTGGGCCAACGAATAGAAGGCTGGGCCTGGAGTCAGACAGATCTGAGTTCAAATGTGGCCTTAGACCCTTTCTAGCTTTGTGACCCTGGGCAAGTGATGTAACCTCTGTTTGCTTCAGTTTCTGAAATGTAAAATGCTTATAAATAACAGCTCCTTTTTTAATTGGCCCTCATAAGGCAAGATATTGAGGTTCTTTACCACTCTTTCACAGTAACTATTGTCTAGCCATTCAGTCCCATTCTGTACTTGTGAAATTGATTTTTTGAATCCAAGTGTAAAATCATACATTTCTCCTCCTCCACTAATTTAATCTTTTTCAAATAGCCCATCATTCTAGTCTTCTGAGGTGTTTCAAAATCTTGACCATGGGGGCAGCTAGGTGGCACAGAGCACTGGCTCTGGAGTCAGGAGGACTTGAGTTCAAATTTGGCCTCACACACATAACACTCACTGGCTGTGTGACTCTGGGCAAGTCACTTAACCCCAATTGCCTCACAAAAAAAAAAACAAAAAAACAGAATCTTAACTATGTAATATGATACCTGTCTGTAAAGAACTATGCAATGTGACATCTGTGTGGAAGGACTATACCATATGACATCTACCTGGGAAGAGTGGTATTAGAAGCAAAGCATCTATAAATTTGACAAATGATATATTCTACAGTTCCATTCAACATAATAAAAACATTAAACAGCATAGAGTCAAAGGCTAATTCCTGGGACATTGTGCTAGAGTTTTCCCACCAAACTGACAAATTCTTTAATAACTATTCTTTGGGTCTGGTTTGCAATCAGTTTCAAATCCACTTAAATGTACTATGATCCAGCCCATATCTATCTAACTTGTCTACAAAGAGAGCATGACAGACTTGGTTAAATGCTTTGCTGAAATGTAAATATATTAGGTCTTCAGTGTCTTCCTTATTTACCAGGCTATGTAGAAAAAATAAATAAGATTATTCTGGAATAACTTAATCTTTTTTTTTTTTGGTTAAGTGACTTGCCCAGGGTCACACAGCTAGTAAGTGTTATGTGTCTGAGGTCAGATTTGAAACTCAGATACTTCTGAGTCCAGGGCTGGTGCTCTATCCACTGCGCCACCTAGCTGCCCCTTGGAATAACTTATTCTTCATGA